CATGTGCATTTTTGAGAGCATAATCATGTGTGAACACATCCACCTTCTTGTAGCAGAAATTACAGTAAGAAGAAGCTCGCTTAAACTGTGAAGTGCAAGGAAAGAAAGAGAGAGAGAGAGAGACTCAAAAGCGGAGAGAGCAGCTGGCGTGCTCTCACGCTCTGCATTAACTGTTGGAAAGCTCTCACATGTTGTGATTTCGTTTTGGCTTGTGTATGGGCTTCGGGGGGTTGATCTAGTTTGATCTGGTTTTTGTTTACATTGCCTCCTGATTTTCGCTGGCTTTCTGTTGGACATTTTCGGTGCATTTCTTCTGTGTACTCCGAAAGCAGCTAAACAGCTGCAGGCCTGAAAAGCCTCTGAACTGCGCCATGAGCTCGAGTTGCAAAGGCAAAAATATAATAACAATAAATAAAATGAGTTGTTTATTAATGATTGATGCAGTTAACTAATTTATTTGAATTTTATACTTTTCAAATTAATTTTTTGTTGTAGATTCAGAGTGTTAACTCTAAATTGAATTCCTGATTGTTGGGTCACATTGATAGTTATACACTCCATTCGATTAGCAAGCCGATTAGTCTCTGTTTTATGGCCACTTTTGGGTTACATTACCATGCCGGTAGTCAAGAGTTTTTTGTTTTTATTTGCCCATTAACTGGCCATGGCCGAGCCCACTGATAAATCTAAAATCAATTATAAAACATCAACTTCAAACTGGAAGCTAAGACAAATTATCAGAGCGTTAGACGGGCCTCAATTTAATCACGGCCCGGGCCCAGACATTCCTAATTGCAAGTGGATGTGGGATGGTGGGGCACGGAGCAGTCACTCTCTGCCTCATTAGGTTATCTCTGCCCATACCTGGACCGTAAATAGAGTCATCAGCAGTCGATAAACGCTATCGGATCATCGCTTTTATATTGCTTTGCTCTGGTCCTGCTCTGCTCTGCTCTGCACCGCCCTGCCCTGCCCAGCCCTGTCTGATTAATGAAGGGCGAACTCAAACTTGGAACGTCAATTGCCGTCGGCTGTCGTTCATTTAATTGCTGCCTCCTCGGCGACAAAGCTGTAAATAAGTCAAAGAACAGACTCAGACTCAGACTCTCACTCTGGGCCCAGTTCGCTTCGTCGCTAACCAGACGGCAACTGTTGCCGACGGCTCACTGGCAATGGCACTGGCACTGGCTGTGGCTGTTTGCTCCTGTTCTTTTATTTTGTTGTTGCGCCTCATTGTCTCCCCGTACTGCTGCCCCTGCCACTTGCTGTCGGCACTTAAACGACTGGCTGCAACATTCTTTGCTGACAACGCAGTAATTAAAATTCAATTGCAATTAAAAGTGCGCACGCAAAACGGGCAACGACAAACAAAATGAAGCGCAAAGCCAAGCCAAGGCATGTGGCAAGGGTGAGGGAAATAAGGCCAGGCCAGCGCAGGTTAGGCCAGGACGCATATGCAAAGGAAAACAAGTTAGAATCTCTAGCATGTAGAGGAATACGACTAAAAGATACCTTAGCTGGGCAGATTTTCTAATACTTGTAGAGCAACGAAATTCAATGGAAAGAATGGATGATCCCCTCCATGATTAAGCACATAATATACCCTGTTCGAATACCTTTTATATAGCTGGGAATTTGTCGCAATTGTCAACATTCTGCCTGTGCCTAGCTACCAACTAGCAGCTCCCATTTCCCAGTTGCCAATTGCCTCCATTGGTGGGCCTGGGCCTTTGCCTCGGTCCCAATGCGCGGCATTTGCTGCCTTGTCATCGTCTTTGTCGTCTCTCCTTGCAGCCCTGCCCTGCCCCCACCCCAGCTCTCATATCACATCCTCCTGTAGCCAGTTTCGCCTTTCGCTTTTTATTCTTTTTTCTCCTCGGGCGCATTCTTGCGTAGGCGTTTGACGTGCCGCTGATTAGCCCGTGCAGGCAGTTCTCAGCCCTCTCCCAGCTCAGCTGCTGCCATAAGCGGACACTTGAGATCTCCGAGCTTCGCTTTTAGGGCGAAATTAACAAATGAAAACACACTCACAAAAACCGATCCAGTAACCGATCGAGTATCACAAATGCTGACCAGGTCTGGGAATCATACTCGCTCGGGTCGGTCGGTACTCCACATTTTAATTGCCGCCGCCGGTTCGTGGAAGCCGAGCAGAAGAATTCCCGGCGAAGCGATACTTCGGATGTGATTGCATGTCAAACGAGACATTAGCTAAACACAGAAGCCAGCCAATACCGAGTAGGAATGCAAATTTGTATATTTATTTTCAATTAATTGAGTCGCAAAGGCAGCCCGCTCTTTCCCAGCACCCATACCATAATTCTCCTTAGTTGGCATTGTCATTGGCGGCGGCAGTTCTCGTGAATTTTGGTGGCTCAACTTTGGGTGCTGTGTGTCAGCGATTTGAGGCGTTTTATAAATAAATTCAAAATTAATAGGAATCGTAAAGAATTACATAGCCGCTTCATGCCAAATTAATGCTTAAACTCGAAAAATATGTTTGCACATAGAACATACAATTCAAAATCAGTTCATAGCATGCCGTCGCTATTTATGATAATTGTTTTACGGTTCATTAATTTATTGTGGGCACTGTTTGGCATGCGATCTGCGCAGAACGAGGGAGCCGAGCCTTGGCCGTTGCAGATAATTAATTACAGGCTGCGTTTAAATTCAATTTTTGCTTTATTATTTGCTTGCGCATTAATGCCGCACTATGCATTGAAAGAAAATTGTGTGCAGCAAGGTGTTATTTATGGGAAAATGTTGGAATAGCAGAACATTTTTGTAATATTTTTCTTCAAACTAAATGCTAAAACTATCCCCCAACTACTCTTAGTATTTAAATACATATTCTGCCCCTTTTCTGCAAGTGTTTTCATTTTCAGTTCATGATCTGGGCTATAGTCCCGCATAATTGTCATGCCGCATTTGTGAAATAATTCTTAAATAATTTCATCAATTACGTTGCCCAGCTGCACTGTGTCGGGTTGGGCTGGGTCCGGGGACTGGGACTGGGTCTTGCTCTTGCTGGCTGCACTCTCGTTGCCATTTCAATTATGTTGATATTTATTTTCATATTTAATTTAACACGAACCGAGTGAGAGTGAGAGCGGGGTGGGGCGGGGGCGGGGCGGGGCGGTACACTCTGGAAAGTGGAAACGTGCGGAAAAGATGGAGCAGCAGCAGCGGCAGCAAACATTTGGAAAATCCATTTTACAGTAAAAACCGCATGCATTATTTAATTTTTAAGTGAAATCAATTACAAGCTCGTTGGATATAGCCGCGAGGGTATGGGCAGGGGGCAGCGGGCAGGGGCAGGGACTGGTCTTTTGATGTTAAATACCATGCCGTCGAGTCGACAGCAACATCGATCGTCGTGGCCGTTGTGCATGTGCAGACATGTCTGTTTGTGTCTGTGCAAAGGGGGTTGGTGGGGTTGGTGGGGTTGGGCTTGGGCTCTGTGCGTGCATGTGGCATTTGTCGTGGGTGTGGGCTGGTGGGGCGACGGAAGTGCGCATAAATGCAATTGCAGTCGAATAAATAAATAAAAATACTTTGTGTGCCATTAAATTTCAATTAATAACAAGGCAAACACACACACACGTGTCGCGACTCTCTTTCTGGCTACAATATTAATACATTTTGGCAGCGGTGCGTGCCGTCCCATCCCATGCCATGCCGTGCCGTGCCGTGGCGTTCCTTGTGTGTGTTCGCCGCCGCCGATTGCCGCAAGCCCATGAAATTAAGTCACAAATTAATTAATTAATGCAATCAATACGTTGGACATTTGCATTGCATTGCATTGGACTGGATGTTGCTTTGGCTGTAGCTTTGGCTCTCGCTGCCAGTGCCTCTGCCTCTGCCTCTGCCTCGGCTGCTGTCTGTTGCATGTGGGCAACATGGCAATTTGCAATTACAATTATGCCTCGCCTCGCCCCAACGAGTGCTGCTGCTGCCATTTCTTGCACTCTAAATATAGAGCCAACTGGGCCGCTAAGGTCGCTTGCCAACAAAATTGCCCTCGCCCAGGTCTCTGGACACCCGAGCAGTGCACAGGAGCCCCCCCCCCACACACACTCCCTGCCCATGCCCATGCCCAACATCATTTTTTAATGGACTTTTAATGTTTGTCGCCTGTGTGTCCGCTCGGGGAGTGTGTGTAGTGTAGTGTAGTCTAGTGTAGAGTGTGTGTTTTTTTTTCGGGGTCACTCTTTGGTGGCTGCTGCTCGGGCTCGGGGGCTGCACAATTAGCTGCCGCTTGTGCTCGACATGTGTTTGGTTCGTGAGGTGGGCTTTCCCGGCTTTTCGTTTTGCTGGGCAGCTTATTAGCTCGTAGTATCGAATGGCTTGGGCGGCACTCAATTAGTGTGCAAAAAAAAAAACAAGGTTTATCGGATTTTCGGAATTGCATTGGCTAATGCCTTTCCATGGGGAAACGGGTTTTTCTTAGTTAATTGCAGCATAATTGAAAATACATTACACTTTTATTGATATGCATTAAAAGTGCATTTAAACGTTTGATTTGTAATTCGTTTTTTATTCATGGATGCAAATCGAAATGTTGACATGTGTGTACTGGCGGCATCTGTGGGGCCATGTCAGTCCGATGTTCAGTGGCGCCATCTAGATGTGGTTAGTGGAATGCAGTCTTAGTGTCATGGGGAGCAGCTCTTGTCAGCTGTTATGTTAAGGAAAATGTTAAAGTTAAATGTGGCTGTTAGCGCTATGTTAAGCGTCCCCAAACATAACACAAATTAAGTTTTAGACGCTAAAATATAAATTAAACATTTTGTGTGTAATAAAATCCATAGCAACCAATTTTATGGAGCATTTCGATCGTTTAACAGACTCAAGTTTAACAGACAGAAGGAAGCGCTCCTCGAAGTGAATAAATTCTTCTTCAGGATTAATATCCGGCCATCACTTTGCACACGATTAGAGCCCTTAAAAATTAAATGAAATTACCATTGTTTTTATATTTGTACGCATTTTGCATAGCATTTATGTACGTTTTTATTGCGGTTTCCTTTATGCTGTTATACTTTATATATTTGAGTTATCATATAATGCGCTCGCCGTAAGACTACTACTGATAGGGATAATAACGCGAATAGGGTAGACATATAATTTATTCGCTTAACAGACACATTTACATAATAGTTTGTCAATCAATCAATCAATCAATCATATAAGTATTTACCATACCAAATCAACGCTGGACAAAAACTATTGAGTGGCAATTGAACTCCTGCTTAATGTGAGTGTATTTTTGGGTGTAGGTGTAGGTGTAGGCGTTAGTTAGTAGTTTAGTTTAACTTAAGTTTATAAAATTTGACTAGTTGAATTTGCTTTACACATTTGAAGGTTTTTCTTTCTTTCTTTACACAATTTGCAGGGTTTTTCCGTGCACAATCGTCGCCTTTTTGCTGTATTTTCTTTTTAGATTTTCTTGAACCATTTTATGCACAAATAATTCACGCTCTTCTAGGGATAATTGCAATGTTAGACATACGTATTTGCCGAGACTAAAAACTAATTAACATTAAAAGACATTTCTGGGTGTGTGGCTTGGGGGTCTACAGAAATCATTACAGATATATTTTGTGATATTTGTGTATTGAGTATTTTGGATGTTAGATTTCAAGTGTCGTACAGCTAGGGTATGCATAGATAATATATAAATTAGGACCACGTATAAATATAATACACTAAACTAAAACGTAAACCGAAAAAAGATATTGAAGAAAACCTTTTTTTTGCCTGCTCTTTGATATTTATAAAACTAAACTATGTACAAGAATATATTCTCTCTCTTTCCCTTCCTTTACTCTCTCTCTCTCTCTCTCTCTTTTTAAGCTCTTTATGGTCCGTTGGGTTTATGGATAATTGCGTAATCGTTGGGTTGTTCGAACTGGGGGTACTCGGGGGCTAACTATTTACTTTTTGTTGCTTTTCTTTTTGTAATAAATGCGTCAATTTTGCGACGAATAACCGCCAATAAATTCGGCATAGCTGTATCTATATTTTGTGCGTTTATATTGCCAACTTAGACCTTGCTCTCGGGTCCATCGGCAACGTGCTTGAAGGCCAGCCTGATGCGGGATAAATAGTGGGAGCAAATGTGTCCATAATTCTTGTTGTACCATTCCGGTGTTTTGCCCCTGAAAGTAGGCAAAGATTAGAGCACTTCTTGTGGGTAGGAAAGGGTTGCCCGAACACCTACTTGACATCCACTCTGGCCAGATGCATGACTCTCGATCTGCCACTGCCACAGGGCTCGATGAGATAGCGCGAGGCAAGGACAACGCCGCGTACTGCCCCATACAGCGGTTTGGCTTTGGCATTGTCTATGGATGTCTCCACAATGACGCAGGCGCCACGTGGCAGATCCGTTTGCCAGGAGCTGAAACATAGAAATTTGTCATTTTGCGGCTTTTACAGAAGAGTCTTTGACTCACCGCAAGACACAAAAGTCCGTGGTGAGCTGTCCATCCAGCGCATATTGATAGATCTCTGTGCGATCGTCCAGCTTCTTGACCGTCTGACACTGCAGCAAATTGATGTCCCAGGAGGCGCGCTGTTTGATCACGTACTCGAGGACCTCCCTTGGTGGTCCCTCAATCTCCGTGGAGCAGCGCCACAGACGCAGCGGATGACCATCGCCCACTTTTTTGTAGGCAATGTCCACGCTGCTGTCGTTGAGCGAATTTATGCTGAACCAGCCCCGGGTTCTGGGAGGGGAAAACATTAAGAATTAGTTGCCGCAGAGCATGCTCTAGAGTTCCACTTACTTCTCTCTTCCCTCCTTGATGGTGGCGCTGGTGCACTCGTAGAGATAGCCCCGCCAATTGTGGAACTGCATGCCCTCGCCCAGGGCCTCCAGTGGCACCGGCTTCGACTCTTCCATGTAGCTAAAGTTGCACTTGCTCAGCTTCTCCTTGCCGGCCGTGTAGATCTGCTTGTAGTGCTCGATCATAAAGGAGAGACACTCGTGCGAGGCCTTCGCCTCGGCCAGCTCCTTCATGTCCGGCATGCCGGTGCCCTTGCCCTTGCGGCGTGGCGATGCCGAGACCGAGGCGGAGCCCGTGGAAATGGAGGAGTGGAAAATGGACTGGGCCAGGCACACGCCCAGATTGTTGCTGGTCATTTGATTCTGCTGCGAGTTGCCAGCCACGATGGTGAGGAATTCGAGTAGAACGTAAAGGATCTCCCGATTCTCATCCGGCAGCAGGAGCACGGCACACTGAACCGCATCCAGACGCACCTCCGCGGGCAGATCTGCAAGGCACAATCGTTATCAGCAACTGTTCATCATGGATGGGGGCTGTCTACTTACGCTGAAAGATGGCCACAAATGTCTCGGACATCTTGGTGGTTAGCAGAGATTCGGGCAGTTCGCGGAAATATTGCTTCAGCATGTCCGCCACATCGTAGGCCTGCTGCAGATCAAACACATCCATGCACTCCACCGTGGACTCACTCACTTCGATCTGTTCCCGCAGCTTGATGATCCTTGACTTGCCGCCGCTCTTGCGGAAGAGTCCCACCTGATCGAGGGCGTTTAGCTGCAGCCAGCGGAAGGCGGCGCGCACGGCCATGGGCAGGGTCTGGCCGCTGCGTTGCAGCACGAGGAGGAGCGGCACACCAAACACCTTCTTGTCCTTGTAGTCCGGCATCTTGATCTTCTTGATGAACTTGGGCAGCTCCCAGTTCCAGCCGGAGCGATGGGTGGGACAGTAGCGCTCCATGTGGCCGGTGAGCGTGACCAGCGCCAGTTTGCGAATGATTTGGAGTTGTCCCGCCGACATGGCGGCAAATGGAATGCCTGCATCCTCCTGCACCGGCTCGATCTTCTTCGAGAAGCACTTGCGGAAGATCATGTTGGGGCGCTCCTCCATCTGGAAGCTGTGCCAGCGCACCACTGGCTGTCGCTTTGATCCACTGCCTCCCCCGCCATTGCTGGCTCCACCACCGCCGCCCTGTTCCTCGTCGTTCTTGGGATCCTTGCGGGTGGTGCTGCGAGAGCGAAACGAGGAAGTGCGGAAGCCATCCCGCTTCTTGACATCTTTGCCCAGGTTCAGGGACCCTCCACGTGTCAGCTTCTTGATCTTCACCTCCGTCGTGTTGGAGTTGGCATCCTTGATGAGCAGCTTGCGTCCCTGGTGGCACTCGGAGTCCGAGTGAGCGCCGATGTCGTCCACCTTGCCCGAGCGCTGCAGGAAGCGTCGCGCCTTGGAGGGTTTGCGCAGCGACAGCTTGCCGCCCGTGGACGACTCCTGGCTGTCGCTGTAGTACGACGAGGAGTCATCCGACTTGCCCTCCTTCAGCTGCGTCATGGGATTCGAGAAGAAGTGCAGCGGACTGGTGCGCATCGAGCGGGGTGTGGTCGGGGTGCGCTTCGGACTGGCGCGATTCGGGCTGAGGAAATTCTCACTGTGGCTGGGCACCTTCAGCTCGTTGCCGAAGAACGGCGCCTTGGGGAATGTGTGCATGGGACTCAGCGCGGAGGGGGAGGGCGGGGTGGAGTAGACGGCATCCGGTTTGCGGAGGCTGCTCCGCTGTCCCAGCTGCGACAGGTCCAGCACCTGGGGCCCACTGATGACCACGTTCTCGCGATTCTGGCGCTTGCGCCGTCGCGACTTGATGGACTCGACGCGCCGCAGGAAGGCCTTGGCACCGTCCTTGATGCGTTCACTGCCACTGCGTCGCAGTCGTCCAGCCGAATCGGAGCCATCGCCCAGCGAGGAGCCATCGGTGGTGCCCGTGGAGGTCTTGCTGCTGCAGCCAGGGATCATCAGGGTAATGCCAGCACCGCCCAAATCGTAGCCATCGTCCTCGAAGCGGTCCGGGCTGGACTCCTTCGAGGAGCTCTCGGTCTTCTCCAGATTCAGCGAGCCCGGCGGCGGCAGCTCCAGGCCCATCTCCCCGATGCGCGACCAGCGTCGAATGTGCGGTTGGAATGTCCAGTTTTCGCTTAGAGCAAAGTTTTCATCATCCGATTCCTCCTTGGGCTACACAGAGGGGTTTCGGATTAATATCTAGGCTGTGGCTAGCACGTCCAGGGCGTGCTCTTACCTGCGGTGTTTGCGGCTTGTGCGACTGATCCAGCCGCATGGTGGCACAGCGATTGAGTACACAGAGCCGCCGGTACAGCGACTGCAGCTGATCGTTCTCCAGATTTGTGTGATCTTTGGCTACATTATTCAAGTCAAGCGGAAACTGATGAACTGCAAAAGGACAACGACAATTGATTATTGATTTAGCTGAAGACTTCGGGTAGCTGCGATCCGTGGTGCTCTCTGCTTGCGACCGCACGGCACGACGATGCCTGAAATTCTAATTGAAGAAAAACCAGAAAAAGTCGAACGCCCATGGCGCCAGCAGCTGCCATGGTTTGTTCATTAAAACCGGGTATGAGGTACGAGGCAGCAGCAGCAGCAGCAGCAATTTTCACACAGCGTTTTTCCACATATTTGCGTGGCCAATTCGCACGTAGGAAATCAAGTTCCAAGGCGACAAGATACAGCCCAGACGTGTGCACATGTCGCGACGCGTCACACCGATACACAGCGATACAGATACCGAAACGGAGCTACAGCCAGCCGTAGGATGCACAGCCTGGAAAAGCTGAGGCTGATCCCCTGCCACTGCATTGTTTATACAAATATTTGCTGGCATCACAACAATATTGTTGTTCTTCTTGGTAAAAAGCCATTCATGGTTTGTTGAACTTTCAGCTCAAAGTACGACTCTCCTCGCCTCCTCCTTGCTCCTTGCAGTGCCAGCACCAAGGGAAAGCGCTTTATATATTTAGTTTTTGTTTATGCCAACGCCCAGCGGCGCTCTTGGCCCTGCCCGGCACGGGTATTAATAAGAACATTTAGGTACCAATCCATGCCATAGTGCCATAGTGCTGCCTGTTTAGTTTCTAATTGAATGCGCTGCCGCCCGCTTTGATGCCAGGGGAAATAAACAAAATTGCAGTCATTGGAGACCCAATTCTGGGAGTGTGCCACTTAATGGGCCACCCCACAGCCACCCCCACGGGGGCAACACCTTAAGATTGCACTGGGCTTGACGTCAGCGAGAAGTTATTTGGAAATTGAATGGATTTCTCACCCACTTTTTACAACAATTTACACGGGGTGTTCCGTTTATTAGGCCAATTATATGATTAATCTTTATTTCTTGGTTCACTCTCTCTCCCAGCCAATGACGCAGATTGCAGTGAAAATTTCGATATGTAATTACGTAGAATTTATGGGGCTGGAAAATATATAAGGCAATTAGCCTGAAAACTGAATTGGGCAGCAAAATGTGGCAGGGAACTTAATGAGATGGCCACAAATCGGTTCATGGAATTATGCAGATTTCTAGTTCATAAAATTCTGTAACTAAAAGTGAACCGAAATGCGATCTAAAGTGGTTTTTTTACAGCACATTGGAGGGCACCATCCAATGCCCTCTTAGCCACTCCCATATAGGATCCTGTGCTGGTCACACCCTCAAATTACGTCTGCCACTTTCGGTGAATAATGTGCGTAAGAAATGAACAAAAGACAAACAAAACCAGCAAAAACTTGAAGCAAATTAACAGTCGCTTACGGATGGAACACCTCCTTTCAGCAGAGACCAGAGCCACAGCCACAGCCACAGCCACAGCCATGAGGTGACTGCAAATGACAGAGCCATGCAGGGACAGTGCCAGCGACTTAAACACCTACGGCATTTTAATTTGCAGAGCAAACTTGAACCAAAACCCAACCCAAAATCAGGAAAAGAATCCACCAAAATCCTGCGACTGCCAGCCTGGAAATTTGTGCTGCGCATGCGCCGCTGCCTTGTTTACACGAAACTCATTAAAATACGCATTTATCATGCTCGGTCCCCCCACCGACATAAGGCTGGGCAGGCAGATGCAGATGGGACTGGAGTCTCGGTCTGGGTTGGGCCTGGCTCCAGTTTAAATGTGCGCACAAATTATGCCGCAAGTTGTGTGTGGATTTTGGATTTGGTTTTCGATTCTTTGCAGGCCAACAATTTATGCAATACAATTTCGCATATTTCAAGGTCGGAGACAGCAGCAGCAGCCCCCGAGGGCCCGGGGCCACATGCCCAAATTGCAGGCTCGCCATTTCAGATTCACTTTTTTTTTTGGCTTATTCTTTATTTTTTTCTGCCTCATAATTCAAATAAAAGTCGGCAAACTTGTGGCATGCACTGTATGCTCTGGCTTAAGAAGTGTTCGCCCTTTTTGGGTTTTATTTGTTTGAATTTGCTCAGAGCTCATCCATCTGAGTGGCCTTCAGGCGTTAAATGCGTTGCGACAAATGCTCAAGAGAAGGGTCTTTGGCTCGATTAAGGAAATCGAATAAATATGCAGCTTTCTTGAGGTTCATTGAACTGCTACTAACATTTTGGCTGTTGGCTAAGGAGAGGCCTTTGCCCTTTACCGAAAGCATTTTAATTTTCGGTTGGTCTTCCCTTTTTTTGTTGGTTTTTTTTGTTTGTATCTGAAGGTGGTCCTCATAAATTCTTGGGCCTGCGTGTCCTTTAGCCTTTTATTATATTTTATCTGCGCCGGAGATGCCTCACGAGTGGAGCGTTTTCTTTGCCGCATTGTTTTGTTTTTTGTTGGTGTTTTTTGTTTTGGGTTAAAATTCTTGAGATTGCCACGATCTGGCCCCGAAAAGGTAGGCGTGTTGCCTTGGCTTTCGTTTTCGCTTGAAAGGATTGAGCTCTGATCCGTCTTTGGCCGCCTAATTGTTTGTCGCGGCGGCGTGTTTGGGATATCAAATTCAGTTTGTTGGGCTATCATGTACGGGGGGAGCACACTCTGGTGTTGAAATCTTTAGACGTGGACTCTCTGGCCCAGCAATGTTGCTGCGTCATAAATGTCTGACCAGAGCAGGGTGTGGGGCAGCTCTTTATTTCTCGCCCCAGCGAAAGTGAAAGTTCGTGTAATAAAATTAATAAAACGCCACTTGGGGAGCCCGCTAAGCATATAAAGCTAAATGCTTGCCATGTTGGTCAAGTGCCAGCAATTACCAGCCATGCCATGCCACGCCTCCATATATTTACACGACAGCCCGTAGAGGCGGAAGTGCGTAACAGAAATGGCACATAAAAAGGTGGAGTTAAGGCTAGGGATAGGGTTTTGTGGGTTACTTACCTTCGTACATCTGGGCGTATTGCGGAAAACCTGCAGCACGCAGCCATTTGCAGGCCTCCACGGCTTCGATTTCTGCAAAAAGACAGAGCGGTAGAGAGAGAGAGAGAAAATCGAATCAGTTTCCATCAGTGAAGGCAAACGAAATGAATTGTAATTCAATTTCCCCCCAGCGAATCCTTGTCTGAACCGGACAAAATTCAATAGCCGGCAAACTGCAAACTGCCGGCTCCAAAACTAATTAAAGTCCAGTACGCGGAACAGCAGAGCTCCAGCCACAGCCACAGCCACAGGCTCGGGGCTCGGACTCGGAGCTCGGAGCTCGGACTCGAGCTGGGGCACTTAATGGTCAGCGGTTGATGGATTATGTTGCAACCCGTCCAAATGCTGTTAACATTTAAAAATTATGTAGCTGCGGTCAGGCCCGCTTAAACAACAGCAAAAACAACAAAAAATACAAACAAAACTTAAGCCCAAAAAAAACCCTCTCTTGACATGAAAGTAAAAGTTTCGGAGAATCTTTTTCTTTTTTGGCAAAATGCTTGAGTGGCGTGGCAACGGGGGGTGTGCTTATATGTATGGTTATGACTGTATGCTCGTGCAGAGGATTTCCAGCCAAGATTAAGACGCTTATTTATGTTTCATAACGGCCTAATTTGTGTGTTAGACAGACAAAGAAGATGGCAAAAAACTCAGTGAACCGAAGAGAAAATAAATGCAAGTCGGCGCCGAGAAATACCCTAAGTAAAAAGGAAGAGAAATGCTACCCTTAAACGTGGAAATGTGCGCCATGAAAGCCATAGCCATAGCCATAGCCAGGGTATCTAGCGATTGAAATAAGCAAAATAGAAATTTGTTTTGGCATCTTTTTCCATGCTCAAGAAGCAGTCAGAGACTGTCAACAGATACTTTTTGCTTGAAATGAATTCAAATTCAAATTTCGTGGCATAAACAAAGGGCAGCGATTGTCTAGCCAGGGGATTGCCAAGCAATTTGTGGCATCAGCTACGGTCTTAGCCTCCTTTTTCAGCTATTTTAAATGCTAATCTGTGCAGGAGCAGAGCAACAGCTATCGATTTTTAATCAAGCTCCAGTGAGCGACAACATGAAACAGTTTCCGGCTGCTTACTGTCAGCAGGGAATTGTGTGGAGATGATTGGGTTGAGGCACAGGCAGGGACTGGTACTGGTGTAGGGACTCCGACTGAAGCTTACGGTGAATTATTATTGAATTTTGCAAGCGATTAACTTGCTCGACAACGCCAGGAAGGGCACGCCACAGGCCATCTGCCACTGCCGCCACTGAGGCGGATACCTGCATGGGCCGGGGCCATGGCACCTGTCCAGAGGCGCGTTTCCTTCTCGGGGTTTTGCCTGTGCATTTATTTATAAACCCCAGCGGCAGGGCAACCCTTGTGGCATCGATTTATGCTGGCATCCTGACAGCTGACAAACGACAAACAGAAAGACACTCCACACCGGACGCTTGACCTGCTGCCAGAAGCGGATCCTGGCCTGCTGCCACACTTTTCAATTAGAACCACAATTATTACTGCCATCTAAATACTAAAAATAGCTGAATATTGGAGCATACATTAAGCAAAAAGGGTGCAGGCTCCAGAATCACTTTAAAGCGCGAACAACCACAATGCTCGTGGGTGTACGTGGGGTCCGCACTCCTCTCAGCATGCTGCGTGAGCGGTTCAATATTTGCACACCAACAACACAACAGCCAACAACAAGCGACCCCAGAGTGTCCTTATTGTCCTGTACGGCTACACCCCTGACAGGGCCATCAGGCCAGAGCACTGTTGAAACATTTCCAAAAACAAGCGACGCGTAAACTTCATGAACTTCACCTGCGCTCACAGGATAATAAATATTCTGATGGAGCGCCGGACACAGAGGCAGAGGCAGGACACGGAAACACACACACCAGCAACAGCTATTGGGGAGTCCTTCATGCATTCAGGAGGCGTGCGCAACATGAGACGATGCCTGGCCCGATGCTGATCCAAAGTTTACACGGCAAATGCCTCGGCCCGAGCTGACCTTAAAGCTAATTAAAATTATATTCAAACTGCCCTGCCACAAAGTTTACGTGTTTTGGGTGCTTAAAAAAGCGTAAATTGAGGTTCTAAATTGAGCAGAAAAATGCAGCAGATTTAACTAATGCTAATTGAAGGCTTTAAGGTGGAAGATTTAGGGCAAGGGCTGGGCATAAATATTTATTGCTACACTCTAAAATGAGGTTTAGCAACTGCTGTACTTATCTGTACTTCTCAGCTTACAGTTCCATTTTTCAGTCACTCTCTGCAGAAAATTCTCTAAGAAATTCTTTGAAAATTCTTCTAGAAATTCCTCCCCATTTTCCTCATGAATCTTTCTTTGGCATTTGCTTCTCTAATCCTGCAAAGCTCTTTAATCTATTCCCCTATCATAAAGCACTTTCACTTTGTGCCTCAATTAAGTTAGCTAAAGATTTCAATTAGAATTTGCATTGATTTGCCAGCAACCAGGGCAAAAGTGTGGCAGGCAGCAGAGGGGAGAAAGTGTCAATGAAAGGCTGCCAGAGAGAGTTCCCCAACAGAATTGTACTTGGTCTCAGCTGCTCACCCCTCCTGTGGGTTGAATGTTAGTGACACGCTTTGTCTTGTGCTCCACAAAAATGCACCCAAGCAGTGCGGCAGATGGCACACACAGATACAGCAGCTACACGGCTACACAGATACAGACTTGATTGTGGCTTACAAGGGGACGCACTGGGGTGAGCTCTGGGTTGCCTTTGGGTAGGTAGGCAACCGATGGAGCGAACTGTGCCACGATTTTATGTGCCCGATGGCATCCATTGCATTCAGCCACCTACCTATCTGCTGGTGCAAATTTAATTTATAGCCAAAAACTTTAGCCTGCTTTAATGCGACCAAATTGTGTGCCGTGCGGTAAAAGCTTTGACCTTTCAATACGCTAAATTGAATTTTCCTTCGTGCTGGACACTAATTGTCAGGTAATTGCACTTGCCCGCAGGCTCTCCACATTATTCAGCAATTTTGCGTTAATTTTTCAGCCGCTAAACGTTGGCATATGGCAAATTACACTGCACCCCCCAGAGGCGAAGAATGCTTGTAAATGCTCGAAATGAATGGCTTAAAATATGTTTGAACCCCACACGAGTGCCACAGCATTTAGATAAATAATTCGATAATATGCAGAGCTTGTTGCCGGCAGCTTTTGCTTTTGTTGTTTGCCTTTAATTGTCGTAGGTGTCTTGGCATTAATTAATTGTGGGACTGTCGCTGCTCCTACCCCCCTGTAGCTGCATTTAAATGTCAGTGGAAACATAAATTTTATTCAGCAGCTGACGGGCTCGTTGCCTTGGTAAGCCATCAAAGAAAATGCTCTGCCGTGTGCCAGAGCTGAGTATTAATTATAAATGGCACGCGGAAACCACAAATAGATCTAGAACCGAGAGAAAAGTGCACAAATTTTCTATACTTGAACTTGTAATTTGTGTTTCCTTTTCGGAATAGAGTTGCCCCCAGAAAGAGAGTATAAATAGCAATGGCAACCCTCCGACATGTGGCAGCCTTTTCCTTCTCACTGAGCACACAAAGCAGTTGCCTGCCTGCCTGGCAAAGGATCAAGTTATAAATACATTTTACTGGTCCATAAATGTGGGGCGCCCCATGCTGCAACAAGTGGCAGGACGTCAGCTTAATTTGCTGTGAACTCTTGAGCAAATGTGCTGGGCTGGGCTGGGCTGGGCTGGGCTGCCTGCCTTTAGGCGGCACATGTAAACTCTTGAGCATAACTACTATGTAACCAGCAACCGCCCCTTGAGCTCTTTCACTCGTAACCCTCAAAATATTCCAACCAAATACAACAGATCATTGAGCTTTTAATGCGATTTTAATGTCAGCATATTATACGGCAGAGAATACTTCCTGCTGAGCGCACAACAAAATATAATTTGAGCAGAAAAAACAAAACAATTATGAATAAAAAACAGGCAAAAAAGAGACCCACCCGCGAGGCTGTGCAAAATGTGTACACAAAAAGAAAATGTATGGGAATTTAAGTAGCAAAAAGCAAGCAAAAAGCATGCAAATTATAATCTCTTAAATGCCAGCAGGTGGCTGGCTCTACATTCCGTGGAAACTCGATGGAGAGAGACCCTTAAAAGGATGCGAATGTCAGAGGTTAGCAAAGGCGGACTGCATGTGTGAAAGGTTTTCCGTATGGAAATAAAAGTCCCAGTAGCTTGATGGAATTTCCTGGAATATCAGACAGGACATTGGAGCCGAGTGCTGCACTCATTTGGCCAGAGATCTGTGTGACTCTGTGAAAGGTTTTCTCTGGAGATGCCAGCAATTTAAACTTTGAATTTCATTCTGTGATTCTATGCCATTTTTTCTGACAGTATTGTGTGGACATTTTTCACAGAATTTAGGGTGGAGCAGCCTTAGCTTTGCCATCGAATTTCTGGCATCGGATTACCCAATTATGGCAAAAATTCAATTGAAGCTGCTACACTTTTGTAATCAAATTCAAACGAACTTTCCTTGACTGCAATTCGGTTTAAAGTCTGTGGAGAGTTTTTCCTGAACTGGCGAATTCCCCAGCCAACGGCCCGAACTCGGAAGTATCGGGGAACCGCCATAAATACGAGATTCCAATTGGCCATTCCCCTGATGTGTGTACATTGTATGCCGTCATATATTTTTGGAGGCACGAACCGTGGAGGCAGGTACCCACCGGGCTATAATTTACTTTGTTTGCTGTTGAGTTTTTTGCCTCTCTCGCTTGTTTTTTACCCATTCCCGAATGTATATCTACGTATTAATTGTATAATAATTTTTTTCCATTTATTACTACATGCGAAACAATTTTCTTTATTTAAATGAATGGCTTTGCTTGACTGGCGCGCAATTTCATTTGAGTGTAAAGAAAATGTTGATTATGATGGGGGAGGCAGACCTACATATATCTATGTGTGCATATATGTAGATGGCATTGTCGTCCAGTGAGTGATTGAATAGACTGGAGGCTGGAGGAGTGACTCTATGGGAGAGTGACTGCATTTGGATTGACTGACTGACTGACTGACTGACTGACTGACTGACTGACAGGCAGGCAGGCTGTAACCAGCTGAACACTTGTTGCCATTCCTCTTCCCATTAATAATTCGATTTTTGTAGCCTAACCGTCGACTGATGTGCTCCAGGCTGTAGCTGGAAATAGCCATGCTGCGCATTCTTAAGCCCAAAAATAGCTAATTGTAGGTGGCAAAGTGTGGGGCCAGGGCACAACCATCATGGGGTGCGGAAAAACAATAAACAGAAAGCGGTCGGCCAGCGGCCTAAGTGGCGCGCGCGCATTCCTCGACCCCACAGATCCCAGCCGAGATGCTGACAGGCACATTTTACTCTCTAATTGTAAACACAAGAAAACATTTTCATAATTTTCCAAGCAACCAGAAGCAGCAGCAGCAGCAGCAGCAGCAGCAGCAGCGAGCGGCCTGCCCTTGGGGCTCACCTGCAATCTTGCGTTCGCGCATTTTGCGCCATAATGCCTCGGCCTTGCGCTTGGGCCAATTCTCGAATTTCTGCGAGAAGCTCCTGAAGAACTTGTACTCGCGTATGGTGATGGACATGCGGCGCTGCATATTGGCCAGCTTGGGTAGCGCCGTCGTGACGGGTTCGCACACTTTAAATCACTTGAAAAATCCCAAAAGGGGCTACGTGCCTACAGCCAGGCGTTGGAGTTGTTCTTCTGCTTAAAGGCTTGCTCAAGCCAGATCCATGGAAGAAGCAACTGCTGGCAGATAATTCATTGTACAAACACAGGCACACACTGACACACACACGCACAGGGCACACTTTGATGTTTCTCTTTGAAACTGCCTGAGTCGTTGGCGTCGACGCGCTCCACCCCGCGAGAGTTTCCCCGAGAGAGAGAGAGAGTTTCCCTGTTGCGGCCACGAGAATCAACAACCGTGCACGGCGCCTGTAAGAGCACTAATGAATTTGCCAACGCCGCCCAACGTTCGTGGCAAAATGGCGAGCCAACCCGAGTGCACACGAACCGAGAAAAGTTGTTGTTGCTTCGTGGCACGAGGCGTATGAGCAATGTGTTGCTGTTCTGTTGTCAGCAAATGGATGGCTGTTGTTCTTCTCTGATTCTTTTGGGGGTAGTGTCAGGGAAGGTGATTGTGCTTGTGCTTGTGCTTGTGCCTCCTTTCCATACAGCTCTATCGGCGCCACAATCGCTTATTATTTTCTGTGGTTAGTTGGCCAGGGCCAAAGCCTGAGGACAGGCGGCACAGGGACAGGGACAGGGACAGGAACAGGAACAGGGGATGGGGTAGATGTCCGTGCCGCACAAGCACAAATAAATAAATAAATTGAAGAACTGCCTGTTGTTGGCCGTTGATGAGGTTTATTTCATGTTCATGTTAACAAAAAAGGACAACCCAGGGAGACAGAGACCCAGGGAGTGCGGAAAGGAAATGTCAGCTTATGTTTTTAGTTTGGTTTTCATTAAAATTCATACATTTACAGGCCAGTTGCGCACCTGTTGCTCACTGTAGTGGGTCTTGTGGGTTGTGGGTTGTGGGTTGTTGCTTTTGGCACAGTTCTGAGATAAGTTTCAAGGCCGAGCCTTTGCTTTGTGGCGTGATTTATGTGGGTAAAAGTAAGCGTTTGATGATTCAGTTGCTCTGCCAGCACACATTTATTTAATAGCCAACAATTTTGAAGCGAACAAGTTCAGGATGGGGCCCAGAAAACAGCTGCCAGAGGTTTGCTCTGTGTTTAACTTTTGTCGAGTTTTCTCGGAGGCGATTAATTTCGGTAAACAGGAAAATGATGAACACAAAATCATTGCCATGTCACGGTTACATTATTTCACATTAATCAGCAGCCTGCTGGAGGTCTAGCAGGGGTAGGTGTGTCTCTGTGTCTGAGTTGGTGCGGAAGACGGAACACGACATGGACACATGCTCGACATCGACGCATTCAATTGCCAGATTCTCTAGAGGCATATTGAGTGCATATAGAAGCGACATTCGTGCTGGCATGCTGGTCATTTGTGTTTGTGCAATATCAGATATAAATCATCATATATCATATACAATCCTCCTGCTCGCACTTGTCCGCCTGTTTGTTAATCTTTTCAATAAAATAAACAACAAATGGGAAGACTGAGAGCGCTACTTGGGTTTGTCTTGCTTCCGTTATGGCAAAACAATGATGATGATGATGAACAATCCCTCCCAACTCGCTTTCTTATTGACTTGGGAGCGTGCTAGCACCACACAAAACATTGCCAAATGTACTCGTAAATACGCATAAAGCGAGCGTAAATGTAATGATAATATAGTGAAGGTCCAGGACCAGCGACCTTTGCCACTGAGCACGTCACTCCAGTGACGTCAGGAGAGCAGTCATCAAGCGAGAGGAAATGGAAATGGGAATGGGAATGGAAATGGGAATGGAAATGGCAAGCAAACACTCAGATAATAGTCATGAAATGACCAATGTGGCGTCTCTGACGTCATCGTAGTAGATTGGAACTGCTCCTGATGAGTCGCTGACTGTGGCTCCTGGCTAGTGCTCCTCTCTCTCTCTCTCTGCGTGTGTGTCCCTGTGTGCATAATTCGATAGCGAGAACGCAGTCATGCTGCAAAAGCGAAATTGAATGATGCTCTGCCCTGGGACAGTGAGCCAGTGTCCAGTCGAGGGGTCCACTTTGGCGTTCAGTTTTGTGATTGAATTTTTTCTTGTTGTGTTCATTTATACGCCATTTTTAGCACAAAGAGTGCCATCATCATCATCGCCAGCCCCAGCCCCAGCCCCAGTCCATAGCCATCCTCATGGCAGGCACAATATGTGGATAGATATGTCTATGGATGGTGCGAAGAGTGAGAGTTGAGTGTGTGTTTGGTGTGTACAATTGACAGATTGACAGCCATTTCGGTCCATTGTGTGTGTTCGGTTTGCGCCAATTCCCATTCAAGTGTTGTCGGAAGTGTTGGAAATATTCGCTAAAAGAGCGGCTGCTGCTGTTGATATTCCTTCTGCCTTCTGCCTTCTGGCCTGACCCCCAAGAGAACATGAAAGTAATTTAAACGTTGGCCAGCGGCCTTGATTGCCTGCAATTGTTTGCCCAAATGAAAGCGGCATTTGAATGCGAAGCCAAAGTAAACGATGATTGGGCATGGGCATGGCACTCATATCACATATAGACCAGGCTGGCTGGCCTTTCCTGGCATAATTATAGAAATTATATGAGTCATGCCATCCCCTGTTATTATAAACCACTCAGACCGCTAATTGGGCTGGCAGGACCACCGGCGCATCAAATCAGACATCAAGTCTCTCGCAGACTTGTGGCTCGATCATGAGCTCCTCGGCATCCATTTAAATAACTCATTTAGTCAAGGCTATGGGAATGGGTAGGGAGCAAGACGAGTTCTTGCCTGGCTGTGGCCGCACTCACCTGCTAAATAGCGATCACTCTGCGAACGAGAATAGCGCAGCGTCTGTGGGGGAGAAGGGAAGGATAGAGAGAATGAGCATTAATGTCTGTGCAATCAAGTTTATGCGAGGGCGTATCAATAAGTTACAGGTAGACCATGGCCAGGCCGGGTGCACAAGAGGGAACAAGAAAATATCTTTGTTGTCTTTACGTTGCACTCCCACCCACAAGCCATCAATCCCCCCGCGCAAGCAGAATTTACTTCTAAGCTGACGTCTTCACCACAGCGGATCATCCCTCTCTCTGCATGCAGGCGTAGCAGCAACAAGACAACAAGACTGCCATCTCTTTCTAGCGCTTATCTCACTGGGAGACGAAAGAGCGCGCGTGGTGAATAAGTGCTTGCTGCTCACCACAGTGGAGTGCGTCAGCTTCTAAGTAAATTCACCTTGGCCTGGCCTGGCCTGGCCTGGCCTGGGATTTCGTTCAGCTACTCAGACTACTCACCAAATGATGGGCAGCAAAGTCATCGTATCTTCTGCTTAGCTCACGCTCCTTGAGCAGCAGCGGCGCCGAGTTGGACTTCGTGGTGAGCTCTGGGATGCCGCCCGAGTCGCCCAGATTGCTGTGCAGCGAGGCGCTGCTGGGCGAGGGCAGCTCCACGAAGTGATGCAGCTGCGTGAGCGTCGTGGCCGTGGGCGAGAGCAGCGACTGGAAGGGCTCCTGGCGCAGCGCCAGGGAGAGCTGGGCGCGCTCCTTGTGGCCGCTGGCATTGGCGTGGCGCGGCAGCAGCTTGCGCGGCTGCAGCAGATGAAGCTGCTGGTGATAGTGGTCCAGCGAGTGACTCCGCTGACTGCGCTGCCTGCCGCCGCAGGGCACGAGAATGGGCGGTGGGGCGATGTACTTGCGGCGCAGCACCACGGGCGTGGCGGCCATGGAGGCAGTGCCGCCGCCGCTGGCGCTGCTCGCATCGCCGTCCGTGCAGTCGCAGTCGCAGATGTGCTGCCCCAGATCGAACTCATCGTGGCACTCGTCGTAATCGCTGGGCTTGCTGCTGCCTCCGCTGGACTTTTGCTTGCGCTCATCCAGCATGTCGTCCTGGGACTCGTTTGCCGCCTCTGCCTCTGCCTCTGCCTCCGCCTCACCGCCGCTGCCGCACTGGCTGAGCACTTCGAGCAGATCCGGATCATCGGAGGAGGCCACCGAGCCGCTCTTCTGGAACTTCATCTTGCGCAGCGCCTCCAAGCTGCTCACCGACTCGTTGTCCGGGCCACTGCGATCGCCCGCTCGATGATGATGATGATGGTGGTGGTGGTGGTGGTGGTGCTGCAGATGGTGGCTCTTCCAGTGGGACATGTCCTTGGGCGGTGTGGCTGTGCCAATGCCGCTCTCATTGTTGTCATTGTCCAGGCCAGAGGAGTCCAGCGAGATGCCCGACTTGCCGGAACTGAGCACACCTGTTGCCTCCTCGCAGGCCGATGATGATGAAGTGGAGCTAAAGGGGGGAGGAAGGGATTGGAGACAGTTTGACAAATCAATATTGATGGTGGCAGCCACAAATGACTCTATTTTGTGTGCAGCTTCCTGGCTGGCTCAATACTCACTTGTTGTCTTCATCGACGGCGCCAACGCTGCGGAGTATCGACTCCTCGGATGTCCAAATTGTTGATGTGGATCCTTTTTTGGTCACATCCACCAGATAGCCGGGCGTGGCCGTACCTTTGGTTGCCACAGCACCAACGGCAGCTCCTGTCGCGGCTGCTGGCGTTGGGCTGATGGCATTTCTGTTCATCAATGAGGAGGCTGTCGCTGCCGCATGATTAATGGCCACCCGTTTTGGCATCGACATGGGCATAGATGAGGCCACAATCGAGGAAGGAGAGGGAGTCGGAGTCGCAGTCATTGTTTCCATGTCGCTGCCGCTGCTCAATTGACGCTGTCGCCTAGATTTCAAATCCTCCTCGATGGTGGTGGTCGCTGCTGTCATCGATTCACCTGTTGCCGCCGCTGCCAGCTCCTCGATTTTCAATGCACTTTGGAAATTTGTCAGCTTATGAGTCGTCGGCGATGTTGTCTGCATGGCATGGCCATTAAATGTGCCGCCAGCGAGGCTCTTGCGCTGACTGGCTGGAGCCACGACTGTGCCTGCTCCTCCATGGCCACTCGGCGCCGATAGGGTGCGCATATAGGCAACATTCGACNGGTGGCTGGCAACATCGTCGCTTCGTTGCGTCCGCAATCAAGGTTAAACGATTGCAGTGGAATGGTGGCCTGGAAGAGACACAGAGGACAACTTATTAAAATATAGTCAGTCGGGTTTAATAAAGAAAACTCGACACTGAGTGCCGCTGACAGTTGAGAGGGAGAGAGAGGGAGGCATGGCAGGACCTTGAATGTATAATGAGAGAGGCAAGAGATCTGGTAGCTGGAGGAGGCTGGCTACCTTGTTGGGCTGCAGCCCACAGAGACAATGCCTAAAAGGCAACAGAATCAGCGGAATCAGGGGAATTTTTGTAGACATTGTCAAGTGGCTGGCCGGCAATTTTTATGCAAATCCAAGAGGCAGTTGAGCAACGTCTTCCTTTTTCTGTGTGTTTCTGTGGAACTCCACAAGGGCCACAGGCACAAAAGTGTCTTCCTATTGTTGTGGTTTAATATGATTTGTAGGCCGTCGCTGATAACAGCACAAGCAGACTTCTAGGAACTCAGTCTTTGATCTTGGAACATATGAACCAAATCTCTGGCCAATCTCTGGCCTGTTTCCACACCTCCTTCTGATCATTTTTGCAAGCCTAAAAGTGCGTTTTATGTTCATTTAATGTCTGTTTGCTCTATGGACAATTTGTTTTGACAGGCAACAAAAAATGCAGTTGAAAAAAGTAGAGAAAAGAGCGAAAAATGGAGCGAAAAGCTGTGACAGCAGCAAGCGGAAATTGATATAAAATGATTTATGGAGGGATAAATTGTCTACGCGTGTGTATGAGGCTGCTGCTGAAGTTGCCGCTTGCTGCAGGTTGCCTTTGCGCTGACTCCCTCGGGGCGGCACAGAAAGAACACAAAAAAAAAGTAAATCAAGATGGAAACGAGACGAGCACAGAGGGCGAGCTTTCAGTCAACGAATCGATAAGAAAATGCTATGGCAACCATTTGCATCGAGAGCATTTAAAGGAGAATTTAATATTCTGGCATTAAGGAAACCTTAGAGACAGACAGCTCTGGTCGCTGCCTGACCAAATACAGACAATTATTCCGAGCACACAGGATGCGGATGCAGTCAGCGCTTCGTGCTGGTTGTGTGGTCCTTTGGGAGTATGACAGCACTGGGGACTGGACACACAATTTGTAATGCATTATGGAGCAGTCTGGCAGTTGCGGGCCCATGTCTATGAATTATTAATAAAGTCAGAGCTGAGCTCTGGTCTGGTCTCAACTGCGTGTTAATGAGCCGCCAACTCTCGCCGGCCAGACGCAATAATTGGGCGCTCAGATCACGGTCATTTATGGGCATGGCTACGCATCGAGCGAGCTATTTAAAGGCAGGCGGGCGCCAGAGTCTGAGACTCAATCGGAGTCCCAGCCCCAGTCCCAGTCACAGTCCCAGAGGAAAGATCGATTTCAACAGTTAGACACATAAAAAGTTTTACATTTTACGGCCAGTTATCGCAGCTGCAACATCTATCTTTCTGTCTATCTTTCACTCTATTAATTTAGTGATTTTATCGCACACAAAATGCTCCAGCAATTTCCCATTTCCCATTTCCCCGTGCCCTGTGCCCTGCTTAACATATGTCAGCCATTTCCTTCAGCATTTGTTGTGATTGAAAATTGTCGCATTTGATGGTGGAAAAGCCAACAAAATCCAAATCAATTTGATGAGCCGCGAGAGGCAGTAGAATTCGATATCCGAAACTTATTTAAATGTCATAAAAAATGTGAACCAAACTCAAGTATCAAATTGATGGAGAATAAATGAAATGTTTTCCTCGGTTAGCTAATGAAAAATGCCATAAAATGAACACAAAACGACACATCAAAATGGTTTCGGCTAGGGCAGCTGTAAATGCTTCTAATTGATCATAAAAAAGCAACAAGGAATCTTTAGACATACGATAAATATATATTTACATAGCTGAACATCGCGGCTGGGTGCAACGCCTCAGCGTTCCACTTTTATTGATATGTGACCCAGAAAACGGGTCGAGATGCACGTACCTCTCGATATATATATATGAATAAAACTCATAAGCACTCGATCACATGCCGATCAGCCGATAAGTATGAGTGTGTGTACAGACTATCGCAAAATCGATTGGACATGCGCCTGACTGAACATTGGAGAGACTGCAGACAGTTGAGACTGCAGGACATTGAGGACTGCTCACTGTTCTCTCCCTGGTTCGTGGCCCGTCACGCATGCGCTTGCTGATAATAATTATCAAATCAAAACACTTAAACGCCTGCCCAGCCCATGGTCATCGCCTGCTGCCTGCTGCCTGTTCAGCCAGAGTCTCCGTCTTGTTTGTTTGCCTTCAAGTGATTTGCAAGTTCTACTTAAGTCAAAAAGTGTTCGGCTCTCGTCTCGCTTCGTTGATGTGCCTGCCTGTCCGTTCCTCTGCATGGTTCATCATCATTAAGCGCATTGCCTTGACTGTGCTTGGCCCCCACACACACATTTTACAAGATTCACTTTCGCATGCAGGGGGGAGAGAGGGAGAGCCTCATGAGCATGGCCACAAAACGGCCACAAAATTGGGGCGTTTTGGGTCCAGCGGGTCTGGCTCTGGCTCTGTCTCTGTCTCTGTCTCTGCCTCCGATCTGCCGTGCTGACAGCTGCTGCTGCAGCTTGGGCCAAAGTGAAGTGTTCTGCTGCGCATCTCGGATCTGACCCAGTTCACTGCCTTGACTCCCAGCAAAAAGTTGTGTATAAAATAAAACTCCTTTGCTGCTGCTGCTGCTTCTGCTTTACTTTCATTGACAGTTTTTTTTTTTGGCAAACCCAAGCACGCACTTGTGCCCTTGATAAGGTTTTGGATGTTGTCTTTGATTTACGCTGTCTTTTGGCAGCTTATAAATCATTGTTCCAGCAGACACACTGCCTCACTGCCTCACTGACTGACTGGCAGAGTGTATCGGAGCTGCCAGCCACATTCTTTGGCATAATTAGTGCTGTCTGTGCGGAGCTTAAGCCTTTTAATTGGCTTGACTTTTACCTGCAGCGATTACCACAAAATATGACAGCTTTAGTGGCTGCCACAAGAGACACACATACACACAATGAACTGAATGCCAGGCGCCCACATGGAAGCCCTAAATTGTGTCAGCTATTTCCCAGGCTGCTCCAGAGAGAAAGAGAAATGCGAGCTGGGAATGCGCTTTCACAGAAAGCAAGGGGGGGTTGTTGCTGCATAGAAACTTGCAGAATGCAAAGAACTCTTGCAAATGATTGGCAATGAATCAAGAGCACAGCCAGCTATCCGTGCTGAATGGAACCTAAAGGGAGTCTTCCCCCACATTGATGGAAATGACAAACTGGAGCAGCAAGTGGATTTGGGAATGTTTCGCCATACTCCATTTGAAACTGTCAAATTGCAGCAGCAAATCTTGAACTTCTCCCCCTGCTTCTTCAGCTTCTCCCTCATCTACTCCTCCTGCTCTTTTTTGTCTGCTTTTTTGTGGCTTTTGTGCAGTCGGTTTTCAGTTTTTCGGTGTTGATGTCGTGGCTCGGCACGTGTTTTGAAAATGAATATTTGTCTTGTTTGCTGCTGAGGATTTCCAACAGATAATCAGAGCCAGAGCAAATGTTGTGCTAAGCATATGCAACAGCCAAGAGGCAGCAGCCCAGAGTCTCGCAGCCAGACCGCAGACACGGTGCCGTTTATGAGCAGTTTTTGGCTTATAAATGTTTTAATTAGATCTGTTTGGTTTGATAAGCTCCGCGGAGAGAGAGAGAGAGAGAGCGAGATGCAGAGAGACAGCTAACAAGTTGGTTTGTTGGTGGCTTATGGTTTATGGTACGAACTGCACTAAGTGGGTCAGCGAGCGGGCCAAAGACTCGACGCTCATGGGGCGTAGGTTCGAGTTCATTTTTGGGCTATCTGATGCAACAGAAAATCGTCTTTTATGGCTCTGCAATCAATCCACACAATTGTCTTTCAATGGATTGAAGCAGAACTGCACTAATTAGTATATTTTATTACACATTTTATGGCGCTGCAAGTCAAACGGCAGGCAGCCCAAAAACTGGGGGCCGTCTCTGCAGCTACAAAAGTTCAAAGTTTAAACGATTCAAGTGGCAGGCCATGGAGTGACGAGTGTCTATCAGCTGCCCCTGCAGCTGGATGGCTGAAGGGCTGCCTGGAGCATATGGGAAACATTCCTGCACTTGCGGCATGTGTGTGGCCCTCCCCCCTCCCCCCGAAAAATACTCTTCTGTGTGTTGACAACATTGTTGTGGGCACAAATGCCTTTGTCTTAGAGCGAGTTTTATCTCAAATATGCCCCACTGCTCGCTTGCTGCATGTCGCAATCCACAGATTACGCGTGGAATTTCTGTGATTTCTGCTAGACTTACGTGCTTCTCGGGTTTCAAGACAAGTCCGTTCTGCTGCTGCTGCTGCTGCTGCTGCTGCTGCTGTTCCGTGATGGATGAGCCCTTGCCAAAGCGACTCTGGATGGCCGCTGTGGCCGCTGCGGACAGCAGCATGGGCGCTGTCCGTGGGCCTGTGGGCTGCTGGCTGGGCGCACCTGTGGCCACTAGGGCCCGGGCCAGATGCGGTGGCAGCTTATCGCCGGCCATCAGGCTGTCCAGATCACGTAGAAATTTGCACGCCCAAATGTTGACATCCTCCAAGGGGGCAGGAGCGGCGGCGCCGCCAAGGGGCGGTGGCGACAATGCCCGAAGTTTAGTTGTCACTGGCCTGGTGGCTGCTCTGCCTCCCCCTGTCGTTGCTGTGGTGCTGCTGCTGTCAAAGCCGCTATCTGATTCCGTGGAACGAGACAATTCATCAAGCGGCATGCCTCCTGCTGCTGTTCCCGTGGCTGCCTCCAGCTGCTCCCTGAGCTGCTGCTCGCGGCGCTGTACCTTTCGCAGCTCAAAGACCTCATTGATCTCACGCTGCAAAATTAGAATAGAAAAAGGCAGAGATTAACTTTTGATTAGCGCTCTAATTGCGTGCATATATCAATGGCAATGGCAATGGCAATGGCAATGGTCGAGTCGAGTCGATTAGGCGCAAGGCGCCAACTAATGGATGCCCCACAGACGTATGATGTATGTTGGCAGGGAGAGGGGAAAAAGAAAGCACAGGACACGACACAGAAGACAGCGAAGACGAGACATGGGCACAATCAAAGACAAATAAATTAGAACACGACCGCAGCCAGAAAGGCAACAGAAAACTGCAGCCACGAACTCACAGAGAGACAGAGTCAGAGTCAGAGCCAGAGCCAGAGCCAGACAACACGACTTGCAGCAGCAGCAACATGAGTCGCACAGTCGCAGGGCTACAACAAATGCAAATAAATTGAAATGAAGCAATTTGTTAGCCAGATTAAAGCAGCAACAAAAACAGAGAGAGAGAGAGAGAGAGAGAGAGAAAAGGCAGAAGACACAGAGCACACAGTCGCCCCAAAAGCAGATCAGACAGATGGGCCCACAGGGCTAACAAAGTCAGCGAATTACTTAATTAAAAATCGTGGCCAAGGCAGCAGCAGCAGAACAGGCCCTCAGAGACCCAGAGCCAGAGCCAGAGCCCAGTCGAGTGACATTAATAACGTGCAGCGCTCATTACTCAACAATTGTGTTTGCTTTTCCCTTCTGCTGTTGCTCGTTCTTTGCTGTGGGCAACCCTTTGCCACAGACAAATGCGATCGAACATTAGCAGGCAATAAATTCTCAAAGGTAGCAACAGTCCCGGTCTGCCCAGCCTCATCTATTGCTGTTGCGGCACGGCATGAAAGAAAGCGCCGCCTTAGACTGTTGCCACTGCCACTGCCTGTTGCTGCCTCTTGCTGCTGTGATTGTATCGCCGCCTGGCACTGTTTTGGCAGCGTTGTTGCCTCATTTGTCCTTTGTGGCGAGCAGTTCTCTAGCTAATTTGTGAAGCCTCAAGGCGGTTCAAAGGTTGGGCAAACAAATGCTGGTAGCCAAAAGGAGAACAGAACGAAGCATTCAATACGCTAGCAGGTGGAGAGCAGCGTGTTGAGAGAGTATTCTACAGCAAATTAACTTCAATTTAGAGTTTTTTGGGAACTGATAAATGAGGATCTTTCATGGTCTATGGATAGAGCATTTTGTCTGCCAGAAATATGCAGCAAAAACTCTTCGAACTTCTCCACTCCCCCTGGGACTTCTCACAAGTGTAGCTGAAGATTTCCCAGTGCGACATGTGTGCAATGCAATTTTCTTGTTATTAATTTCATGCTACGATGCGCTGCATAAACAATGCTCACTGTGCCCCACGCATCTGTCCACGGGTCCAGCTCCAGCAGGCGTATTCCCAAAACACTCCTGCTCCTGCTGCTGCCGCTGCCACACATCTTTGGGCTATAAAAAGCAAGACTGCGTGGCAGCAACTTTCAGTTTCAGTTTTTTCTAAGAGCCAAAACGCGCACAGCGGTCGTCGCAGCCCGCTTCAAAGTGCCCGACAAAAATTGGAACAGCAGCAACGATCCACGATCGACGGGTGGAGACTGGACCCAGGCTGGGGACAGGGAACAGACAGACAGACAGACAGCATGAGACTCACGCTCGCCTGGCTCAGCGTCTGCCTGGCGATTTATTGCAGCGGCCACGGCCATGGCCACAGCCACAGCCACAGCCACAGTCAGGTCCAAGGCAATGTGGTACTATCTTTGCCACCATCGCTTATCGCCACGGCCACGGAGGCGGCGGCCTTGAGGCAGCAACAGCAGCAGCCACTGCGCTGGAAAAAGGATGCACGCGTCCTGTTTGACAGCGGCAACGATGCACTGCGCGATATGCTGCAGAGTCTGCCCCACAACCAGCACCACGACAATGTGGATTTGGATGTGGAGCAGCAGCCGCAAGTCGCGGATTTTAATCGAAAAGCACTGCACGAGGCAGATGATTTAGTTGGGGCACAGGAAATTGCAGGCGCACAGCAGCGGGGCAGCCACTATGGCGGTGCCACGCCCAGCCACAAATACGGGGCCAGCCGCTGCCAGGGTCGCCTGGGTCCGTCTGCCAAGTGTCCGCAGGAATATTATCGCGCCATGATGGCAGCCAGGTAAGCCAGTCCCTCCCCCAGGATGTGGGTGGCAATCGGGGATGCCGCCCGCTTCAAGGCTGCACCAAGGCAGGAAAGTCTCGCAGAGCGAGAAAGTTTCCGCTTCACAGGCTAAAGCCAATTTATCAGCCGCGCTGTCTGGAGGTTCAGATTTAATGTTTAACCCTTTTAAAAGGGCGCCAGGTTTAGGCCAAAAAAAAGAGGCACAAGCAGCAACAAATCGTCGACAATTTGGCTGTCGGCCAGCAACACGCAAAACCAATTAATGGGCGTGAAAAAAATCAAAGAGAGAGAGAGAGGGAGACTCCTGCTGCTGCCTCGTATGTTGATTTATTTTATAAAATAACAACTGTCAGCAAATGCATTGGCCCGCAAGACCAAAATGAAACGAAATCGAAATCGAAAGTTTCACTTTTCATGCGAACGAAGAGCCAGAGCCAGAGCCAGAGACTGGAGCTTCCCCAGTGAGAAATGTTTCCACTTTGGTCAAGTTTTAGTTCAACATTTAAGCATCTACTCTGGCAGCGGGCATTATGATTTTGGCAGCAGAAAAGATGGCAAATTAATGGGAATATAATCAAGTCTCGGTGTGCAGACTTGCCAGATTTCATTTTGAGTGCAAATAAATCCTTAGACTGTAGATGAATATTTATCCATAATAAAGTAGATTCTGTCTCTCTGCTTCTCTGCAGCTTTGTCTGTAGTCTCTCTGTCTGTAGAATCTACTACATATAAACATAGTATTCCAAGCTCTCTGCCTGTTTCCTTTCATTTTAATTGCATTGAATCCTTGGACACAATGCCAGAGGCCAGAGCCAGCTCAGATTTCGTCACCCAACTTCGAGCCTTTCTTTTACTTCTATTTTTACTCACACAAATATTTTAGCTCCCTTTCTGTTGCGTCTTTTCTTTTACTTCTTTTCTGTTCCCCTCTTTTATCTGTACACAAATTTCTTTGCTTTTCTGCTGCTGCGCCCTGTGATTTCTGTGCACAATTTCTGGTAATATTATTGGCCCGCTGCTATTAAATTCGAATTAATCATTTCTTGTGTTGTGTTTTGTTGTGTTGTTTTTCCTGCTGCTGCTCCTCGTCGCTGCATTATTGTTGTGTGTGTTTTTTCTTTGATTAATTGGGCCCTGGGCCCGCATCTCTCTCGCATTTTGTTCGCTTAATTTGTAATTTTACACAGTAATTTTGGTTGGAATTGCCACAAATGGACATTTGATGGAATTGGCTTTGGCTTCGGCTCTGGCTGACAGCGCTGACAGGCGGCGGATAAACGCAGAGTTTAGGCGCTAATTCCTTGCGGCAGCTGTGGCATGGGAGGGTGAATGGGTTTCTGGGTCAGACACAGACTCAGCCCACGTTGCTGCTCATCAATTTGGTGTCACGAGTGGCACAGAGAAAAGAAACTCCGTCGATGGTCTCCACATGTAATTGAAACCCACAGGCCCACGCCTGAACAGAAAGACAGAAGAGAAAAGTGCAACAAATGATGGAGCGACAGGGGACAGGGCCTGAGGCATTCATCTCGAAATAGACAGCGGCCACATATAGCCATATCTATTTGCAGTCATTGCTCAACCTTTGCCCTTTTTATGTACAGGAACAAAGAGGCCATGGCCCGTCTGCACATGCAGCACAACTCGATGCAGGACAGCTCTGACAGCTATAACGAGCAGCGGCTGCTGGACAGCGATGAGGAGGAGCAGGATGAAGAGCAAACCAACAGCAATGAGGTCTTCATGCTGCTCACTGGCGAACAGGACCTCATCAAGTTCCTGCACTGGGCCATGCAGCTGCTGTATCCCTACGAGCGGCCCGAGGGCAATCGCAGCGAGAGTGCCGCCGAGCACTACCATCCGGGCATGTTCCTGTGGAAGAAGCTCAATCTCTCGGGCCACCTCGAGCCACCGCTGATTGTGGATGAGCCGCAGTTTGTGCTGGTGCGACGCGAGAAGCTGCTGGATGGCTATCATTTGGGTGAGTAGAAGGGAGCCGCAGCAGGAGCAGATCTCTTGCATGTCTTTGCCTCTTTGCAGACGACATGACCAAGGAGGACGATCCCTTTATACCCCCACGTGGACGCAAACACAACTCCCCCGATCTGAATGCTCTGCTCAATCGTTATGAGACTTTTGTGCCGAATCGCGGCAGGCGCGACAAGGTCAAGGATCTGTTCAAGTACGACGATCTGTTCTTTCCGAATCGCGGCAAAAAGCAGCGCAACATTTTCCACCTCGACGATCCCTTCTACCCGAATCGCGGCAAGAAGCTGAAGCTGCGCGATCTCTACAACATTAACGATCCATTCTTTCCGAATCGCGGCAAGCGGCACTTGACCAAGGCACCGGGGCCTGGCATCGATCAGTGGGGAAAACTGCTGCCAGATGACAGCGAGAGCGACAGCGACAGCGACAACTGGCCGCAAGGAATGTCAACGCATAAAATGAATGGCTACGATCCATCAGTCAGGCCATCAATGTCAGTGGTGGATCCTACGGCTGCTGCAGCTGAGGGCGCTCGCTGGCGACGTCTGGCCGGAGGATTGCTGCAGCCCGCTAATAGATTACACTCGACAAGATCAATGTCAGCAAGTGGACAACAAGCGATGGCAATGGGAGTGCAACAATTGTTGCCACAAGGCAATCCGTACATGCCCCGCCAGCAGCAGGTGAAGCCCGCAGTCTGGCAGCAGCGCCTCAAGCGTTCGCTGCGGCTGGCAGATGCCCCCGAGACACAATTAACGCGTGCACCCAATGCTAATCCCACAAAAATCGACACTGAAACGGACTCGGACACGGACACGGATGCTGCGTGGGCCTGGGACACGGAGGCTGCCAATTGGCGCATTTAAATTGCAGTTTTCGGGCGACTTCTGGCTGGGGGGAATGTAGAACACACACACACACACAAAATAAAGTAAAATGCAATTGAAAACGTTGTCCTTGGGGTCTGCCCTGTGCTGGTGCTGCCTTGCCCTTGGGGCATACCACTAGCGATTCGTATTTTAATTGTATTCATTGGTTAATTTATCGCTAAATGCAATCAGCATTGTGCCGTGGGTCTAGACTCCAGACAGCTGCAGACACAGCCAGGGGCCAGGGCGTGGCACGCAGTTGATGCCACAGCAGCGATATGCAGGCAGATCGAGAACAGCCCAGCCCAGGGCAGGCAGGCAACTGGCATTGGCAACTGAAAACTGGAACTGAAAACTCAAAGTTGTGAGTGTGAGACTGCAAAGGTCACACAGTCGGAGCCATGTAATCCCCGAAACGCACATCAATCACGCGACTTTAGAGCTTATTAGCCACAGCATTGAGCCTTAAAATCAGAGAAATAAACTGAGAAAATGCCCAAACAGGCCTCTGTGGCTGTGGCTCTGGCTGTGGCTGTGGCGGTACATTTTTCCACTTCAAGTGTTTCAAGCGCTGGCATTGACATTGACCAAAAAATCGACAACACAATGTCCAAATATTTGGTGAGCCACAAAGTCTGCGGGCACAGAGAGCCAGAGCCCAGACCAGACCAGACCAGACCCCTGGCAGCTCTTTGTTTTTGTACAAATGACCATTGAAGGTCATGCCAGGCAGCAACAAATTGGTTAAATAATAATACACAAATACCAACGGCGCATTAATGTTAAGCAGATGCGCGGAGTTCAAGTTTTGTTTTGGGTTTGGGACTTTTGGTAGCTTGACGCTTGACGATCAGACCAAAATCATATGGGGAAGATCATTGTAATTTCAATGGCACTTCAGACCAGAGGCAGCCCCTCTATGTTTGGGTTAGAAGCATGAATGCAGCAGTCCGGTTCGCTGACACTTGAAGTGGTCAGCCGCCGCCTAAGAGGTTTAACTCTCGTGCAGGGTACCTAGAGGGGTTTTCTTTGAGTTGGGTTAGCTTACGATCTGAGCAGCTGTTTGACAGCAGCTTCAGCAGAATCTCTCTCACTCACAGAAGCATTAACCTTTGGCTGTAAGGCACTTCCGTTGCCACAACTTCTGGGCATTCGTTTGGCCCCAAAACAATTGCCAAAGCTGGCCAAAACTTGTGACAAATGAAATTTCAGTGGCTCAAATTTCAACTGCAAGTGCAAGTCCAAGCACTGGCTGCAAAGCAAAAGAAAGTGCCGCAAAAGGAGTTGCAGTCTCCCCCAATCGCAGCAGCAAATTGGCTCGATTTTGTACAACTTTTTGTGTTGATTTGCTTGTCGGAAAATATCAACGCATTGTCAGCACTCTCCCAATGCCGTTGACAACGTGCAACATGCAACGGTTGCTGCCGCACAATTGTTCAACGCGATCAGCATGAGTAGCTGGCAGCCTTTGACAGCCTCTTAATTGCTGTCTGCAATTATGAGCCAGCAGCAGCAGGAGCAAAAGTCCTAGTCGCTTCACTTTCATTTGATTTGTGAGCAAAAAGTGCACCGCTTTCTGGCTGCATTTGGCGCTTGAAGTTTTCTAGTTAGCTGTCGTCCCAGTCCCCAGTTGTTTGTTGATTTGCCCGTCTTTGTCTCTGTCTCTGTATCTGTCTCTGTCTCTGGTGGGAGAGCAACTTCTGGTTGACAAAAATAGTAACGTGCAGAGGCAGGCGCTGCCTTTTATTGCCATTTGTTTTTGTTGCTGTTTGCCATTTGACGTTGACAAAAAAACGTCATTTGCAAATTGGGCAAAGACAACTTTCTCTGAGGCAGCTGCCTGCCTGCCTGCCTGCCTGCCTGCCTGCCGAGGAGTCGCAGGCGCACTGTGGCTCACTGGCAATAGTGGCAGTCATTGCATAAAGCTATATAGATAAAGCAAAAAGGCAAGTCGTCGTCGTCGCAGTCGTCGCCCACATTCATTAACAGCATTCGCATAATTGGCTGTGGCAGATATTTCGTGGGTTCACTGACATTCCCCGTACCCTAAGCATCCAAGACAATCCCTGTGCTGGGGCCTTACGTCTCAATTTCCCATCGCCACTTTGTCAATAATCTATAATTAAAATCATTCGAGAACACACGCAAACAACGGGCTCGGGCTCGGGCTCTGCCGTTTGTCAGATTTATCAGATTTATCGAATGGCAAAAAGCAATGTCTGTGTGTGTGTGTGTGTGTGCACACTCCTCTATGCGACGTTGAAAGCTTGATTGATGCATTAAGCTTATGCAGCCGTAACCGTAAACACCAGCAACTGTCCAGACCCCAAGCCAAGCCCCACCCCAAACCTGGCAGACGTTGACGAGCGCCAATTAATGGCTGCTTAAACGGGATACAAAAAATAACACACACACACACACACACTCTCTGCCAGTGTGGCCATGTAAAATGATGGAAAAATCTGCGCAAAAGCCAGCAGCGTGGCAGCCGATTGCTAATTGAGGCAGGAAGCGTTGCAGGCCACAAAAACGAGTTGCCATCGCCTGTCATGTTGCATGGCACGGGCACGGAAAAGCTGGCCCACGAAATGGGTCAGCCAGTGATTACCTGGCGGCTCTGCAGCCGCCTCCACGAACGCATTTCATAACTAGCCAAATGAAGCCTAAGGCCAACAACCACAAGCGACAAGCCTCGGTCTTAGACCCGTCTTAGCGGGCAAATTTCCAAGCTGCACTATTTGTCATAATAAATGTGAGCACAAAGCAGCAGCAGCAGGAGGAGGTGTGTACACACTGCCCCACACACCTCAGCGAAGAAAGCGCGCGACAGCGTGGGCTGCGGCTGTGACACATTTTGTCATCATTAGGCACAGTCGCCGGCTAATAATTTCAATTTAGCCAAAAAATTAGTTGTATTGTGTGAGAGAGCGGGGTGGAAAACATGTGTAGAAGAAAGAGAGGCCTACAGCCCACGCTAGGGAAAAGAAGGGAAGGAAAAGGCAAAGCCAAAGCAAAACACAGCCAGAGGAGGGACTGTGACTGGGACTGGGACTGGAGCTGTGACTATTGGGCGTTGAGTTGATGACACTGATTATAAAATGCTGCACGGTGCTAAGGGGTTCATGAGCCACACTGATAATGGAAGCTAATCGCCTGGCGCTGATTTTGGTGCTGCAAAAAACGCACTCGCGACTGCTGCGCGATTTCTCTGCGATTTTTGTCGTGTTTCAATGAAAAGAGTGTCCATAAATGATGGAAAAAAAGTAAAAATACCCTCTGGGAATATGCCAAAATCTGTGCTAAATTTTGTATCATTTTGAAATTTTTTCGAGGTGGAAAAATGGGATACCCTCGACACTTTCTTGGGGGATAAAGCTAAAATCCCTACAGAAAAGTGAAGGAAACTGGCCCGTTCCCTGGCACTGCCACTACTCCCTTTTGTGCCGCACACACGTACATAATTTCTCGACCAAATTTCGTGGGCCCAACATAACCCATAAGCGCCAACAAACAAGGCGCGTGCGTGCCGCGCTTCCGCCCTGGATGATGGGCCGCTGTCGCTGTCGCAGTCGCTGACAAAAACCAAATAACACGCAGCAGCAGCCGCAGCAGCAGCGAACAAGGAAAATTCATGCGAAACACAGATATAAAACAAGAGACACAAAAACAGAGGAAGAAGAAAAGAAAAGCAAAGCAGAGGCCATTGACGCTGACGTTGAGGCTGCCGGCGCTGCTGCTGCTGCTGCTGCTGCTGTCACTGACGCTGACGATGTTGCCGTCATCGTTGATGTGGTATGTGTAATATTGCGCTTTCCGGTACAGAAACATAAAATTTTATGTGACGACAACTCTAACGACAGGCGCAACTGGAGGAGGGGCGGTGGTGACTAGAGTCGGGCGTGCAACACTTCGTATGCCCTGCCCCCCCCACCCAACAACAACTGTCCCGAGTTAACACATTTTTCTGTCACGCAAAATAATCATTTGCAAAATCACGCAGTGCTGACAGGCAGGGGCCAGGGAGGGGAAGAGCAGCGAGAGAGAGAGAGAGAAACTGAGCGCAGGGGAACGGACTGGAAATGGGACATGGAATGGGACTGGCACTAGGCTGGGGCTGGGGCTGGGGCTGGGGCTGCGGGCAATTGCTTGTGCGTGTAACGGCCGCTTATTATCATGAGAAAATTTATGAAATTGACTAATGTCACACACCCGCCACCCGCAACGGCTGATAAAAATATTTCCCACAAAGCAAAGGGAAACACTCACCTTGACACGCTCCAGATATTCCTGCAAAGCCCCGTAGGGATCATCGCCATCGACGTCCATCAGGTCGAGACTGTGCGCCAAGTCGAGGTTGTCCAAGGCGGCCAGTTTGGACTCAGCCTTATCCCCAAATTGCAGCTTATGCTGCAGATGCGCCGTGTTACCGCTGGCAGCAACGGGCGACGGCGCCGCCTGGCTTAAGAATTTCTTATCAGCTGTCATGGTGTTGCATGGAGTTGTTGCGCCTGCTGCTGCTGCTGCTGCTGTGGCACTGCTTCCGTATTGGCGAGTGCGCGGCATGGTTGCACAACCGGTGCTAAAAACGCTTGCAGCACTTGGCACAAACGTGGTTGTGGCAGCAGCCATCGTGTTGCCATCAACGTCTGCAACGTTGCCCGTCGCATCACTTAATCCCGATTTGTAGCGCGTCGCGTCAGTGGCTGCTGCTCCTTGTGCTGCGCTTTTTGCTGCTTCAACTGTTGCACTTCCTTCAGCTCCTGCTGCTGTTCTGGCAGCTGCTCTTGCAACTCCTCCTGCCATTGCCTTCGGCGTCGTCGCCTTGCCGTTGATAAGCGTTTGATGTTGCAAGTTCCTGCTGCCGCTGCCGCTGCTGCTGCTGCTGCTGCCACTGCTAATTGCACTTTTCACATCGCTTGTCATGTTGTTTTGATTTGTATTGCCATTTCCATTTCCATTTCCATTGCACTGCATTTGAGTTAATTTCTTGAGTTTGTCATGTTGCCGCGTTGCCGTAGCCCCACTCTGCCCCAATGGCTCTGCAAATAAAAAGAGAGAAGAGTGTGTAAATATAACATTTAATTTTCTTCACACAAATCGCATAAAGTTGTCATTGTCGCTTGCAACATGCCTCGAAAAGGCGCACCCAGGCGCAGAGACTCATAATTTCCCAATGGCTTTTTGTGAACAATTTCAAGCGAAAAACCAAAGAAAACGCTGTCCAAGCTGGCTGCCACATGTGGCTGCCACTGCCACTGCCGCTGCCGTTTCGCTTTTTGGGTGCGACTGCTTAAGCCAAATGCGCGAAAATTTCTGCGCTAATCGCCTCAAATTGTCCGCCAAATGTGTGCCATTTAAATTGTCATAAATTTTGCAATGTGCAGACTCCAGTCTTTTATTTGGCAATTGTGACTGTGAGGCTGTGCTGCTCCCTGGCTCTGTGCTTTAATTCATTTCGCGCTGGCATCCAAAAAATGGCCAGCAATTATTTACATATGCGAATTTATGGCCTCACACTACTTAACCATGGACCCTGGACTGGCTACCAATTATTTATCCACACTTCTATTATATGTGGAGCTGCCCCACAACAAATGTGTCGCCACAGCAGTCGGAAATGTGTCGGATGGCAGCTAAACAAGCTCACAGATTGTCTGTCAGTCGTTTATCTTTTTCGGAGTTGATTCAGAAGCGAAAATTCTCAGCTTTATCTGACAAGTAATCGGTAGCTGATCTTAAGGGGTCAATCTGCGCATAAAGTTAAAGTTTTTAAGAGCAACAAAAAACTATAAATAAATGTATAAAGTCGAAAGTCACCAAAAACTCTCTCTCTCTGGCAAGGAAGTTCCTTGCCTGCTGCTCACTTTGCATAATTCCCCCACAGTAACCCACATGTCTGTCGATTCACAGTAAATCGATTTGAAATTCGCAATAGGGGCAAAAGGTTAGATGAACTTTGTCAAAGACAAGAACTTTAAATGCCGGCCGGCATGGATCGCTTGGCTCTATATGTCACTGCCTGCCCACTGTCCACTCTCTGTCCTCTCTCTTGTTCCCTTGTCTTGTGCTTGTGGGGCAGCGCGAAAACGGTTAAAGAGTTTTCTGTGCCTGTTGCCTGTTGATTTTATAGCTACGATTTTGGTTTTTTTGTTTTTATGGCGCATGCGTGCGTTCGATTGAGTTTTTTGATTAAAATGTCGCCGCCACCGTCGCTGCTGATGCTGCTGTCGCGACTTGGACTTGGCGACAGCCAAAAAGGCAACAGCAAGGGGTCCGCTCTCCAAGTCCAACTCTGACTCTGACTGCAACTCTGACTTCTGCTGGTCAGAGCTCTGCTGGCATTTAAAAATTCTGAATCGCATGCGTTAACGTTACACAACGGGCCCGTGGCGAGCTCGTAAATCAGCGGTGCAAACGAGTCAGTCAGATGGCAGACTGAGACGCAGACGCAGGGCCCCAGTCCAGACCAGACCAGACCAGACCAGACAGTTGGCAACATTTTTTGTTTTTATGGGGGTCGGCTGTTGCTCTGCCAATTGATCGTTTTGAGACGATTGGCAGGAGGCCAGATCGGCAGACCAAGACCCCGAGCCCACACTCGTTTTGCAAACAGTTTTCTTCTGCCAATTTTTGGCTGCATTTCAATTGTGCAACGCTAACGGTACATACGGGACACTGGCCGTGTGGGAGAAGCGTTTGCAAGCTCATGGGAGGTCCCACCCAAATTTCCCAGTGCATTTTCAGTGCGTTTAGAACTACATTATGAGCCATTATTTAAGCCAATTTTGTCATTCATTTGGCCAACTAATTAGCGCTACAAAAATAACTTAGGCGGCCTTTGTTTCCATCTATTTGATCACCGACCAAAAGGTTCTTTATGCGCGGAGACTAACCCCGAAACGAACACACAGAGAGCGAGCAAAGTAAACAACATAAAAAACAGAGAAAATAAAACGTTTGCGTATTTGCTTGAAATAAAATTGTTTGCTGGGGTGTGTGCGCTCAATAGCCACTGTCCGTCCCACTTCCACTTCGACATCGATCACTGCGTTGGGTTTGTGCGTGAGTGTGTGAATAAGTGTGTTTGCTTGTGGCTGATTGATTCGCTCGCTGAGGTCACCTCAACGTGATTAATTGCCGTTTGCGAATGGCTGGCGGGAGCGAGAAGTGTCACCGCGGAGGAGAAGCAGAAGAAGGAGAAGGAGAAGGAGAAGAAAGAGTAACAGCACCCAGTTACAGCTACAATTCCCACTTCAGTTTGCGAGGGTTGTCTGACGCATACTCGCGGCGCACGGCGCCACAGCTCTCATAGAAAGTTTCTCGGTCAATATTTGCCTGCGCCTATTTCGCCACCAAGAGAGCGACCTACCTTCCCTCGCAGAGAGAGAGCGGGAGACCTACCTCAATGCAACTGTAACTGCATCTCAGGCTGTGCCTGTTCCAGCTGTACATGCTCATCTGTGTGCTTATGCCAGCAGCGGAGCCAGACTAAATACGAGTAAGTAAATAGGCAGAAGGTGAGCAGAGCAGATCAGAGCAGAGCAGAGCAGAAGCTGTCGTGGCTGGACACGCAAGCGACGATTAGCAGGGCATTCTCAGAGTTCTCAGAGTTTCGAGTTCTGACGTGTGTCGGCTGGGCACAACGTCTTCGTCATGCTGATCAACACAGATCAGACGGCGCCCAGAGACGCCGCCGTCGTCGTCTTTAGCTTAGGCTGCAGCAGCAGTTCCCCGTTCGCTGCCTGTTCCTTGCCTGTTCGTTCCCCTCCCGCTCACCGTTCCTTGCCTGCTCGTTTCTCTCTTTGCTGTCTCCCACTCTCAACTGCCTATTCAGCTTCGTCTTTAACTCCATTTCATGTCATCCCACTAAGGGGCTGGGCCAGCGATCTCTGCTCTGACACTGTGGCGGCTTTCAAGCCTCATTTGCCTATCAAAATGATATAATACGCACTCATGACGTCGATGGCTTTGCGTTGTACGTGTTTCCTGTTGCCTGTTGCCTGTTGCCTGTTTTCTCTCTTTTCTGTTGCTGCCTTTTGTGCAAAAATTTGCCCGCGGGTGGCACTCAACCAAAAAGGGGCGTGTCTGTATTCAAATGGAGTGCACTCCGCTGCAGTTGGTGACAAAGCTGACCGGGGAGTGTTTCTTTCTTTTCAGCGTATTTGTTCTCCCTTTTTTTTTGGGGGGGGGGGGGGGGGGGGGGGGCCGCCTGCAAGTGCGTGTGCCGCGTGGAGCTGCACCCAAATGGCAATCATTTATTTTTATATTTTCTTTCAGTTTTGTCCTCTCTTCTTTCGTCTTTTTTGATTGCAGCTCTCTTTTACGACTCTTTTCCAATTGCCCGACCTATGCGGCGTCGCATTAATAATAATAGTTTTTTTTCTCCATCTTTATTTATTATGAACCCGCCATGCCATGCCATGCCATGCCGTGGTGCAGGCGGCAGACACACTTTCTTGAGAAGTTTTTTGTTTTTATGCCGCCTTAAGTGGCTTTTTATTAAACATTGCCGAGCATTTAATTGATTTGTAATAGATTCGACTGTTCGTCTGTCTGTGTGTGTGTGTGTGTCGGATAGGTGTGCCCATGTGTGTGTGTGTGTGTGTGTGTGTGTCATGTTAACGGATATCCAAGGCTTTCATGTCATGCATAATTCATTCAAAAATTGCAGTCTGTTCAGCGGGCACAAAGTTATGCCACACGCCCTTAACAGCTGTCCGGGAACTGGCATTTATTTATAAAGAAAATATATTTATTTCCTACACAATATTCGTTGTTTTTCGCCTTCATTTATTCGCTGATTTTTTGCACTTAAGCATTCACTCACTCTTTAAGTATTTTTATAAGCGCTGAAATTGCCTTTAATTGGTTTTACTTAGCTGTAAGTGAATGCCTTTGGCCCGGAGGCACAAACAGAAATGATTCAGCTGCCAGCTGCATTTTTTTAATGTGTAATTTTGAACAATTTTGTATGATATCACATCAACAGGCACAACAGTCTTACTTGATTCAACTTGAGGATCATTTAAGCAAAGAATTCAATAATTTCCTAGTCAAAGTTCGCCTTTCATCGAAGCACTTTCCTCTACAACTCTAATGGAAACTATGCATCTGCGAGGGTTCCACCTTTACTCTATAACTACTGTGATATTTCTAGGGTATCTCCAGCTTCTTTATATTATTTTCTGCTTTGTTTCTTCTTATCTTATCTGCCTGCATCGATAAACACGTATTTCTCATAACCGGAAATGACAAGGAGCTGAGCTGGCCGTCAGCCTCTCCACTGACCTTCGTTGACTTGGGAGCGAGAGAGAGAGAGAGAGTTCTGGCAGCTTGGGCATGTTCCCCTAGATAGATTTCCCCCCGCTATCAATTAATAACAATAAGAATAACAAGCGCTATTAACTAGCCTAATGACTGTGGGGCCTGGCCATTGCGGATTTTTCCCACAGTTTTCCCTCGCACTGGGACTCGTGTGTGTTTGTGCAACATATCCGCCCCAGTCGATCGCTGGCGACAATGCAACTTAGTTGCACAAAAGCTGATTAAGCGGAGAGGAGGTGGAGGTGGAGGAGAAGCTTACCATTTCCTGCCGCAAAGGCGGCGATGCGCTCCCTAACCGAACGTCTGGGCTCGTCATGGGCGATGTTGCTGCAGCTGTTTGGCTGTGACTGTGGCAACACATGTGCCGCGGCCTGCGTTGAGTCATGGCTAGGACTACGCTTCACCATTGTCGTTTTGATCACAGTCTTGAGGCGGCTGGGCGTGGTCGGACGCGCTGCAATGCGGGGCTTAGGTGCTGTTGTTGCTGCTGCTGCTGCTGCTGCTGCTGTCAATGTTGCTTTATCGTTGCACAGCACTTCTGTGGCAGCACCCACAAACTCTTCTGCCTCTGCCCCTGTTGTTGTCTGCCCACACTCACAGGCTGTGGCTCTGGCTGTGGCTGTTGTTGCTGTCGTAATTGTCATTTTATTCTGCGACGACTTCGTTGCATCAATTCTCGTCGTAGTGCTGTTCGTTTGTGGCACGTCGTCGTCGGTGTCGGGTAATTTACAATAATTACAGCGCGGCTTGTTGTTGTTGTCGTAGCTTAACGTATTTTCCTTATTGCTATGTTGTTGCTGTTGCAGTTGCTGTTGCTGTTGCTGTTGCAAGCTATTGCTAAGTCTTTGGATTGGTTGTCGTTGCTGCTCATTGCCACTCTGCGGGCTCTTTGTGACAGCGCAAGTTTTAGTTGCCGCAGATAGATCGCTGCTGCTGTTGCTGCTGCTGTTGCCTTTGTTGTCCTGCCGCCATTGTTCAGACAGATTTCGTTGATTCATTAATATCAGCGCCACATTTCCGTCGTTTCTCGAGCCAGCGATATCATTGGCATTATCGTGGCTATCGCTGCTGCTGTTGCTGCTGCTGCTGCTGCTGCTGCACTCCTTATCGTTTTGGCAATCTGTGTGGCTGCGTCGCTGGTTCAGCCCCGCTGCTGCTACATCATCAATATAACTGAAATCGTTGTCTACGAATATGTTTCTGGCATGCAGCGTGTTCTTGCCGCTGCACTTGGCCTGCCGCAAATCGTAGCGCCTGCGCTGCGGACAGCAACAGAACTTCACAATGGAACGCGGCGAGGTCGGCGATAGTGTGGGCCGCGTCGGCGTCGCCGGTGTGGCAATGTCAGCCCATTTCTCGATCAATGCCAGCTCACGAGCATTGGACATTGTCGTATGGCCATGGAGTGTGATTCTGCAAGCGAAACGAGACAAAAAAAACAAATACAAAAATTAATTACAAGCACAAAAATAAGGGGGGTGGGGTGTGGAGTAGCAAACAAAAATCAATTAACAACATTTCTCGACGCGTCTCAGCGGCTCAAGCAAACGCTTCCTCATTCCTGTCTTCACGGACTCCACTTTGGCTCCACTGCGCTGAAAGCCAATTCGTTGCGCACACACACACACACACACACACACGCTGTCTGCCATCTGTGCGTCATGGCTGCAACGTGTTTTAATTGCCAACAGCTTTGCGCGCCACACTTTCCCAGCTGCCACACAGTCCGACTCCGAGTCCCAGTCCCAGTCCACTTCTAAGTGACCGCCAAAATGTTTGGAGCAGGCAACGGCCTGCACCGTGTGGCAAGCTGTCGATGCATGATTAACTGCCGCGCCGGCAAACTGCATTTAATTGCATTGCGAGAGATGCAGCATGCAGCAGTTGCCGCAGGGCACACACTCGACAGCGGCTACCTGCTGCCAAATTCCATATGCCGCCCACCGCCTGCCTGGTGCGCGCCTTTGCTGATTCATTTGTGGTTCGAAACTCGGCTAACGGCTACCTTATTGGCCACAGGGGGGGCGTTGACACAGGCTGAAAGCTTTTTTCCTGTGCGCGGGGTGAAAGTTTGGAAATTCCTTGCACTCGGTGAGGGGGCTAGGGGGTGGAACTGCCTTTTGTGTGTGCTTTTGGTTGCACGCCTCCTGTCATATTTTTTGACAAATTAATTTCAATTGTTTAATGCCGCCGCGCTGCCGAGTTATCTTTTCACTTTATCTATTGAAAATAAATTAACAATAAATAATTTTAATTATTTCATGAAGATGTCAAATTACACACGCCCCTCTCCCCCGCCTCCACAGCGCAGAGCCAAGAGTCGGGCTTCCTCCTCCAGCTTCAACTCTGCCCGCCTGCCATGTGCCACAGTCTGTGGCCAGGGTCGCCGTCTCGCGATCTTTGCCACTTACCGCTGCCCGAGCCCCGACCATTGTGGCAGCCACAGCTGCGCGCGCGCGCTCTTTGTATTTATGATTATTTTCCATTTTTCCCACTTTTTTGTATTTTATTTATTAAATTTGTGTGTTTGCTCAAGCCCCCTTCGGGGCAGCTCTAATGGGATTTGTTCGCAAATCTTCGGCGCTGTCACACATTTGAGCTCCACAACGAAAAGCCGCTAGTTAAATTTCACTACCAACTGGAGGCCTGGCGGGCAGATCACATTACCAACTGGCTACCAAATTACCAAAGAGAAGCTGCCAGCAGAGGGACAACCAAACGATTTGTCATAGTTTAGGGCAGTGGAAAACAGATGTGGGTTGGGTTGCTGATGGATCAGGGGCAGCGTTTAAGAGGGGACTTAAGGCTGCAAAATACCCTGTAAGTGGGGTGAGGATAAGTAACTTTCAGGCTGCCACAAGGGTGTCACAAAAGTGGCGCTAAAAAATAGAAACAAAATACTGAAAATTCTTAAACTCGTACAAACTTTAAGGCCGAAGATCTAAGAATTTAAAGAGAAGATTTCAAAAATCTAAATTTAAGAGACTCTAATAAAAAGTCTCCCTTAACGCAGAGCACTTCTGGGCAAGCCTTCCCCATTTTTGAGCTCATATCTCAAGCAGTATATCCCCTGCTTAGGCGTGTAATCTCGCATGAAAAACACACACACAAATAAAAGCAAAAGACATTGTTAAACATAAATTTAAAATATGCCACAACGCTGACGCTGCCCCACAGCATCTGCCGCTCGTTTCCCCTGCATCAGTAATAAATCCGCTCTTTATGTTTTTGTTTCCCCTGTGCTTTATTTGCGTTATTGTGATTTATGGGTTGTACGCTGCACAAAAATGAATATTGAAAAGCTACTAAATCCCGACTTACGCATAAATTAAAAACGCTAAGTAGGTGGGCAGTGCCCTGGACTATTTTTGGCAAGAAAAGCAAAAAGCAAAAACAAAACCCGAAACTCTGACCAAAAAGCGAGCAAAAAACATTTCTCGAGCTGCGCCGAGTGTTGTGTGGATTTTTCGCGCATGTTTAAGCCTTGATTTATGGCGCAACGGAGGGGTAAATGTGCATTTGACATCGTAAATATTTGTCAGTGCATTAAGTTGACTTTGTACACAAAATAAATCGATATTTGCATGTGTGGAGAGAAGCTTTTGCGCATGCCCCGCACGTACGATTGGATTTGTCGTTTACTTATGAAGTCTAGACCCTCGATTTGGCATACTTTATAATTAGCATAAAGGCTATAGCAATCGGTTATCTATATATAGAGACAAGTAACGGTAGCAAAGTTCTATGAACCGTTGAGGCAGCGCTCGCTGCTGTCCGCTTAGCTAATTGAGGCCGAGTCCGAGGCTTACTGTCAGCCACTTCGTCACTTTAGCAGGCAGGCAGCCAGCCAGTCAATCAATCAATCTGTCGATCGATCGTTCGTGCAATCAATAAGTCAATCATATGCACGGCCATTCAGGCAAAGTGCATACAAATTGCCGCTGCAATTGTCTTTCGGGGCGCTTTTGTCATAAGTGCAGCTCAAGCTACAGCTCCAGCCCCAGCTCAAGTGAAAAGAGTTTCGCTTTTCGGCAATGGAGGAGTTGCGGTGAGAAATTCGTTAGATTTCGATACGCTTTCGGTGGAAAGGCGACAGGAGCGACTCCGTCTGGGATCTGTTTTCTTTTTGTTTTGCCTTCGAACCGGTCAGTGCGATTGCCTCGTACGATGTCTATTAATGTTGCCCATTAACCTTTTAACCCCCAGATTGTCTGGCTTATGCCTCAGCCCCCCTCACTCACTCTCTCTCCCTCTGCCTGACTGCCAGCATTGCGTGGTAATGACTCTCTTCTCTCTCCCAGCTTCGCCTCTCTCTCACTCTTCACGCAAAAATGCGCAGAAGCTAAACGCTTTTTCCGCCATTTGTTGAGCCGCGCTTGGATGAAATTTGTTGCCAATTTGTTGCGCCACAAAAACAAAAACAAAACCAAATGCAGTCCGCAGTCTGTCGCAGACTTTCCGCTCGTTTTCGGTTAGTCGTCCAATTAATTTCCGCATTTCCCAGCACAAACTTGGCAATTAATTTTTTTTGCTGCTTGCATTTCTTCAACCTTGTTGGCCTGACCTTTTGGCTCAAGTGATTCACGCCAACACACACACACACACACACACGTCAGCCTCTTTCTTTTTGGAGTCCTAACGAGAATGGCTTGCAGTTGAGAGGCTCTAAGTCGGCAATTAATCAAAGCGCCTCTGGGCCACGGACAGCAAATCCTTTTGTGCAGCAACGTATAAGGCCTGGCTGGGCAGCGGAAACTGACAACGCAAATGGCTTAAATGACAGCGGGTGAGTCAGCCCATGGGCAACGGTAACATTACCATGCGTTGGCTCTTTTTTCCCTCCAGTCAGCCTCTAACAGGGATGACTGACAGTCGGGGCTGACAGGCCGCAGGCCAAAGGCCAAACACACACACACGAGACAGGACATGGACATGGCAGCGTGAAGGCTTTTTATTGAAATTAAACTCTAAACCCGCTGAGTGCCTAATAAGTTTGTCAGAAAAATATTAGAGAAATAAACAATCCCCCCCC